ATTATGGAAAAGTTGAATGTAAAAATTGAATTATCAACCTTTGACGGCTCTTTTGAAGTTGAACCAGACAAATGGTTAACTAAATTCAAGCAGTATGCTAGGAATCATTCGTTGAGTGAAGACAATAAATTAACCTTAATTGAAAATTACTTGACGCATAGAGCATTACAATGGTATAATATCTTTATGGACAATATTACTTCTTGGAATGAATTTACTGCAATGTTCAAGGAGCAATTCTCTGGTGTTAAAAGAGAGCAGCAAGCATAGACAAAACTGCAGAATTATTGCCAATATAATCAAAACATAATTGACATGTTAGCAAATTTTAGCACCTTATTCAGAGCTGCAAAAATCAAAGACGAAACTACAAAAATGAGATATTTGTACAATGCGGCAAATCGCTCTACCAAAGAATTCTTATACGACAAAAATATTAATAATTGGGTTTTAGCCGTACGTGAATTACAAAGACAAGAGCAATGGATAGAATCGATGGATAATATGAATCGAAAATATGTTAATGAAAATCTGACCACAGAAAATAGATTTACTAAGAATCAAACTAGTGCAAAATACGATAAGTACAATTATAAGACTCAGCAAATCACATAAAATTATCAGTCTAATAACAAGGATTATTTATAATTGGACAATCAAGTACATAATCAGCAAAAAATGGTAGCGGAAGTCAACGAATTAACAAAAAGTATAAACTTGATAACAATAGAAGAAAATGTTGACTTATATGGATTGGAAACAGAAATAGGGTACAAACGAGTATTACCAGAAGATTTAGACAATAGTAATTCAGCAAAACATCAGGCTACAGAAAAATCAGTAATACAAAAACGGAATAATAATGCATCTTCCCCAACAAAAAATTCATACCACAACAGACAAGTGGCCAATACTGAAAAAACCAATCAATTCAACATAATAAATGAATTAGAAAAAATTAAAATCCCAATTTCAATTCCCCAATTAATATCAATATCCAAAGTGGTTAAAAAAGATCTTGCAAACTATATTGATAAAGAAAAAAAAACTATAAATGAGTTACAGCCAATAGACAATTTTATTACAACAACCAATTGTAAAATTGACTTTAAACTGAATGACAAAACAATCAGGGCTATAGTGGATACAGGCGCAGCTTGCTCAGTAATATCCGATTCATTGGCCTCTAGGCTTAATCTACCAATAAAACAACAGAATGCTATGACAATAATTACGGCAGACGGAACACGCCAATTATCTCTAGGCACAGTAGAAAACTGCCCAATACTAGTAAATCAAGAGCTATTGCCCGCAAATTTAATAGTATTAAAAAACGTAAATAATCACATATTGTTAGGAACCAATTGGTGCAGAGCTCACAAAGCAGTACTAGATTTGGAACAAAACATTATTACAATAAAAAAATCAAGCTATTCTATTAGTACTTCGTTGTATACCAAAAAAAACGAAGAAAACTATCAAATATGCCTAATACATAAGGAAATAGAAGCTACAGAAACCAACCAAGAAATTGAAAAAGAAATTAAAGATCTAATTGAACAAAATAGCGACATTTTTGCAAACCAATTAGAAGATCTTACCCAAGCGGGAAACGTAACACATAATATAAAAGCAACTACTGAAACCCCAACATTTGTAAAGCCGTACAGAATACCGTACAAAAATAGAGAAATAGTACAAGCAGAAATA